AGGGTGTGTGTCTCAGAATGTGATGAGGTATTTTGTGTGTCTCAGAAGCCTCTTTCTGGCTGCAGTGCAGAAGGTGGGTTTCAGGGAAGCAGAGGCTGGGAGATGGATGAACAGGCTATTGCAATGTTCCAGGAGCAAGGTGCTGGGAGCCAGGGAGCCTGGGGAGGACAGTGGTAGTGAGGACCAAAAGGAGATGACAGGTAGGCTCTGGTGCTTTGATGAATGGGGTGGGAGAGGTTGGCACTCAGGGCTATGGCTTGGGTGACAGGTTGGGACATGAAGTGCGACCTGTGGGAATAGAGGTAGGGGCAGGTGCGGAGGGGGGAGATGGGGTTCTGCTATTTACACACCGAGTTGGAAGTGTGCGGCTGGATACTTGAATTGGAGCCTCATCTCCTCTCCTCAAGCCCCCTCTGCTCCTCTGGCCCGTCACCAATAGTTCGAAGCACTTTCCCCCAGTCCGGAGCTTCTAGAGTGCCCGCCCCCACCAGCCCTGCCCACACTCACTGATGCACTTGTTCATGTCGGGGTTGCGGGCGTCGAAGTATCCAGGTGGGCAGGACGGCAAGCAGACGCCCACCTGGCGGATGTCGTTCCTCTCCAGCAGGATGAACAGCTTGGGCGAGCACTTGAGGCAGCCGTTGACTTCAGAGCAGAGCTCACAGCCTTTGGCACAGGCCTGGCTCCCCTCAGCACTGACTGGAAAGGTGGAGCAGGCATGAGGAGGCAGCTGTGGGAGGGAACCTCGCCTATCCAGATTCCCACAAGGATGGGAAGTGACTAGATCGGCGTTTCCTTCCACAGAAGGAATGTGCTTCTCAGAAACCATAGACCAGGCTGGCAGTTCCCTGCAAGGCTGCTTTATACTCCCCCCAGTAGCTTTTCTCCAGAGAACTAGCACTAATGCTGTCCCCCGTGCCTCCCTAGCTCCAGGCACAGCACAAACTCACCCTGTAGGCTGGCTCCAACATCCCCAGAGAAGCAACCCAAGCTGAACCCTTCCTGGAACTTATCCATTCTCCCCAGAGCACAAAACATTCAGCCTTAGGTATGGAAGGAGGGTTTTAAAAATCTCTGAGAGCTGGGCACAATGGCTCACGCCTGTAATCCCAGCACTTCGTGAGGCAGAGGCAGATGGATCACAAGGTCAGAAGATCTAGACTATACTGGCCGACATGGTGAAACCCTGTCCCTACCAAAAATACTAAAATTAGCCGGGCGTGGTGGCGGGCACCTGTAATTCCAGCTACTCAGGGGGCTGAGGCAGGAGAATCGCTTGGGAGGCGGAGGTTGCAGTGAGCCAAGATTGTGGCACTGCACTCCAGCCTAGGCGACAGAGCGAGACTCTGTCTCAAGAAATAAAAATAAAAATAAATCTCTGAGAAAGTTTAAAGGCAAGAGGGATAAAGAGTAAAACAGAAAAGGGCCACCTGCCCTTTTCAAAGACAACTGGAATAATCTATGCCTAGAACAGAGGTCTCAACCACGGATGATTTTGCACCCCAGGGGACATTTGGCAATGCCTAGAAACCTTTTTGATGATCACACCTGGGGAGCGGGGTTGTTACTGGCATCAAGTGGGTAGAGACCAGGGATGCGGCTCATCACCCTACAATGCATGGAGCACAGCAAAGAATCATTTGGTCCAAAATGTTAATGGCATGGACGTTGAGAAAACCTGGCTCAGACCCATCCTTTGAAGCCAGGCGCAGTGACTCATGCCTGTAATCCCAGCATTTTGGGAGGCTGAGGCAGGCAGATTGCTTGAAGCCAGGAGTTTGAGATTGGCCTGGCCAACATGGCGAAACTCCATCTCTGCTAAAAATACAAAAATTAGCCGGGTGAGGTAGCACATGCCTGTAATCACAGCTACTCGGGAGGCTGAGGCAGGAGAATCGTTTGGAGCCCAGGAGGCGGAGGTTGCAGTGAGCTGAGATTGTGCCACTGCACTCCACTCCAACCTGGGTGACAGAGCAAGAATCCATCTCAAAAAAGAAAGAAAAAAAAGAGAGAGAAAGGAAAGAAAGGGAAAAAAAAGAAATAAAGAAAAGAAAGGAAGGAGGGAAGGAAGGAAGGAAAGAAGGAAGGAAGGAAGGAAGGAAGGAAGGAAGGAAGGAAGGAAGGAAGGAAGGAAGGAAGGAAGGAAGGAAGGAAGGAAAGGAAAGAAAGAAAGAAAAAAGAAGAAAAGAACCATCCTTTAAGGCTTCATGGTCTTCCATTCCAACACCGAGTCTCAAGATCTTTGACCTCACTCACTTGTTTCATCCTCATGGAGCCCCTTCCATGGACCTTGTGCAGCGTGACCCCCGGGACAGAGGCATATAAGCCACGCTGTAGAGGAACCGATCTTTCAGTGGAGCAGACAGATCCCAAACAGGTGAATGCTGAGAGCCCCAGGGCCAAGCAATAGTGGACCCAAAAAGAAGGAGGAAAACAAGCCACAAAGAAGGTGTCACTGGGGCCAAGTCTTAAAGAATTTGTACAGATTTATCCTTTAGAAAATAGAACTAAGGGCACTCAGGGAGCAGCACCACAGAGGTGTAAAACTAGCAAAAGGCGGAATTGCAGATAACTTGGGGTGGAGATGGGAATGGGAGGGGAGCAGTGAAAGGTAAGCTTTTCTATCTTTATATCATGCTAAGGAACTTGAACTTGATCCTGCCAGATGGCATTTCCCAAAAAGTACTCCTTACAAGTTGATTCCCCCAAATGTGACTAGGAGGATATGAGGGAAAGGCTGCTATATCAGGTAAGACCAGGAGCCCGTGGGTCAAGCAAATCTAAACAGATTTCTTTACTGCAGGCCTTCTTAAAAGCTTTATTACCCTCCTGTGCACACTGACTCTCTAAGGAGGGGTAGAGTGAGCTGCATTTCCCAAGCATTTTGGCCACAGAACACTTGTTTTGGGACCTTCGCAGACTGTTTAGACATCAGGGAGCCATTAGAACATTTTAAGCAGGGATAAGACCTGGTCCAATTTACATGTTGGGAAATTTTCTCTAGTAGCCAGGGTGGAGACCATAGATGGAAGGACTGTTTGGGAGGAAGCTGACTAGATCATCCAGGTGAGAAGGTGAGAAACCCTTAAAATTATGTTCCACAGGGATAGAGGGGATAAAGGCAGCTTTGAGAGACGCTTAGGAAATGCAACCAGTAGGCAGGCCATGGCGGCTAACAGGCAGAGAGGAAAGAGGCATGGGGGGGAGCCTGGGGTGGTTCCCAGATGTTTGGCCTGGGGTGTGGGTGAGCTGTGGGACCACACATAAAAAGAAGCCCGTGGAAGAGAAGCAAGGTGAGAGGGAAGGAGAGGAAGGAAAAGTAGTTACTTGGGGTGGAGATGGGACTGGTGAAAGGTCAGGTATCCGGTCTTTATATCACGCTAAGGAACTTCAACTTGATCAAGAAGGGCAACAAGAGCTGGGCAGTGGCTGGCTGCGGTGGCTCACACCTAGAATCCCAGCACTTTGGGAGGCTGAGGTGGATGATCACCTGAGGTCAGGAGTTCGAGACCAGCCTGGCCAACATGGCAAAATCCTATCTCTACTAAAAACACACAAAATTAGCTGGGTGTGGTGGTGGGTGCCTGTAATCTTAGCTACTCGGGGGGCTGAGGCTGGAGAATCACTTGAACCTGGGGAGCGGAGGTTGCAGTGAGCTGAGATCGCACCACTGCACTCCAGCCTGGGCGATAGAGCAAGACTCCATCTCAAAAAAAAAAAACAAAAAGAGCCAGGCATTGAGGAGCTACAGATACAGGCAGGAGGCAGAGAGCTAGGGAAAATCAGAACAGAGGTGGTAGGAGATGGTGCAGGGTAGTGGACCCAGAGCCCAGGCTTCAGAGTCCGTAGGATCCAGAGCCAGATCCCCAGTCTGGGAACCTGGGTGAAACAATGAATCTTGTGTGCTTCCCTGAAAAGGAGAGATGAGGATGTCCACTCTGGACAACTGCTGGATGAGTCTATGCTCCAGGAATCATTCCTGGCTTCAGAACAGGAGAACACGGAGGAGTGAGGAAGGAGAGCAGCTGAAGGAAGGAGGGTGATAATAAACACCAGCTTATCACAACAACACAGCAGTAACCACAATGGTGGCAGTGTGTCACTAAACGTTGAGCACTGACTCTGTGGCAGGCACCGTTCTCAGTGCTTGACAAGTATCAACTCATTTAACCCTTACAGCAGCCCATGAAGTAGGTACTATTGTTATTTCAAAGAAATTTATAATCCACTTTTCTTTTTCCAGACGGAGTCTCGCTCTGTCACCCAGGCTGGAGTGCAGCAGTACAATCTTGTCTCACTGCAACCTCCCCCACCCGGGTTCACATGATTCTACTGCCTTAGCCTCCCGAGTAGCTGGGATAACAGGAACCCACCCCCATGCCTAGCTAAATTTTTGTATTTTTAGTAGAGACGGGGTTTCACCATGTTGATCAGGCTGGTCTAGAACTCCTGACCTCAGGTAGTCCACCCACTTCGGCCTCCCAAAGTGCTGAGATTACAGGCATGAGCCATCGCACCCGGTCTATTATGCAGAATTTTACAGATGAGGGAATGGAAAGGTAAATTACTTGGACAAAATTTCTCAGCCAGTATGTGTTTCAGGCAGAGGAGGCAAAAGTATAGAGAGACCAGGGTAGGACAATATGAGGTGGCATGGACACTGAAAGTATGTTTAGACTATATATTTTTTGAAAATAGAATTTATGCCGGGTGCAGTGGCTCACGCCTGTAATCCCAGCACTTTGGGAGGCCAAGGCGGGTGGATCACGAGGTCAAGAGATCGACCATCCTGGCGAACATGGGGAAACCCCGTCTCTACTAAAAAATACAATAATTAGCTGGGCATGGTGGTGCATGCCTGTAGTCCCAGCTACGTGGGAGGCTGAGGCAGGAGAATTGCTTGAACACAGGAGGCGGAGATTGCAGTGAGCTGAGATTGTGCCACTGCACTCCAGCCTGGTGCCTGGCGACAGAGCAAGACTCTGTCTCAAAAAAAAAAAAAAAGAAAAAGAAAATGGAATTTACAGACTGGGTGTGGTGGCTCACACCTGTAAGCCCAGCAATTTGGGAGGCTGAGGTGGGCAGATCGCTGCAGCCCAGGAGTTTAAAGACCAGCCTGGGCAACAGCGGGATCCTGTCTCTACTACAAAAAATAATAATAGACTGGCTGTAATCCCAGCACTTTGGGAGGCTGAGGCTAGGAGTTCAAGACCAGCCTGGCCAACATGGTGAAACCCCATCTCTAGTAAAAATACAAAAATTAGCCAGGCGTAATGGCACACACCTGTAATCCCAGCTACTTAGGAGGCTGAGGCATGAGAATCGTTTGAACCTGGGAGGCAGAGGTTGCAGTGAGCCAAGATTGCTTCTGCACTTCAGCCTAGGTGATGAGTGAGACTCTGTCTCAAAATAATAATAGTAAAATAAAAATAAAAATCATGATTGTTCTTGTTGATATAATTATTGTATGGATAAAAATACTCCAAATGCAGCATTGGAGTTATGAGGGAGCCCTTGGGATTATTTTTCTACTCTGGGCCTTTATTCGGCTGTGTTACAAATTCATGAGTCATTACGGATTTTAGGCACCCCTTCCACCTCAAAGATATTAAATTGTCTACGACTCACTGTTTTTATTTAATTCATTGTCGAAATGAATGCGCCCTCTAGGTTTTAATTGTCTACGACTCACTGCTTTT